AGTGACGAAAAAGAGGCGACATGGAAGTGGCTCGCCGGCGACGTTAGTCGCCGTCACTTGCTGGCTCACACGTTTCCCGCCTGGTTAGCCTCTAAGGTGCAAGGTCGAGTGCACCTTTTGGCATTGGCACCATAACGTTTATGGTACCAGCACAACCTGGGTTGGGATTGTCGCGATTTGGAACGCCTGCTACCGGTACGGGAGGCAGACCTGTTGCGCGAGCGGGACGTGCGAACGCTGGAAGAACTACCAGACCACACTTCGTTTCTGATGCTGCACAACTCATACGATCTCGAGATGTGGGCTATAACATCAAAACTTCTTGGCTCACCAGCCGGGGAGGATGTGGGTTTTGGACGAATCCGTGGCAGTAGACAGTGCAGCTGAAGTACCAGTGTTGGGCTTCGTAGCGTCCACAGCTTTGTATACCGCTCCCGCCAGCTGTATCAAGGGACACTTATGGAAGGTGCGAAGATCCCTTGAACCGACTGTGGCGACCTCTGTAACCACAGTTGCTTGAGAAATGCTTCATCAGTGTTGAAGTCAGCGACCAGCTGCTTCATCTGACGAAGCAGTTGGGTCGGCTTACTATCACCCGGATGCGTATCCCTGAAAAGTTCTTACACTTTCTTTAGTCAGTAAGTGCAACGCGTTTGATGAGGGCGGTTTTGAGGCGATTGTAAAGATTCGGTGCTGGGTCACCTAGCACGTCTGAGACGTCTTCGATCACACTTCAGGTTAGCTGACGATGACTTAGTTGGATTTGGTTTCTTGTGATTGAGTGTGTCTCAAGGCAAACTGAGCTTCGACATAGGAGAACCATGCAGATGGTCTGTGGGCCCAGAAGGTGGGAAGCCGGAGGGTCACTGCCGTCTGCGCGGTCGAGTCGTTATAAGCCACTGATAAGGGAATTAAAGAGGCACGATGATGATGATAATGGTATAAAAATTACGATGCAAAAATAACCAATGAGGAGTGCAATAAAAAAACGCAAGACCGTGCCAAAAACGAGAAAATAGGCCAGATAAGTCAACGCAGGAAAAACAAAGGTACTAAGTAAAGTAAAAAGGTATACTCGAGCTCACCAATTTGTAGGGATGTGTGTTACAATACCGCAACGTCTGATCAACCCCACTTAACTTGGTATGCTCTAGTACCTACTTAACCAGTACTTTACCTAATGTGTAAGTACTGATAACAAAACACAAATCAAAAGAACTGATACGCAATGTATTTGAAGGAGCTATGTATTTAATTAAGGTAAACGTCATAATAATGAATGGGGGGAAGGTTTAATCAACTTATCTAGCCTGTAAGGCTGAACTAGGGACTCGAAGTACGCGCGTGGTAGCCAGCAGGATGGAGCGCAAAATGGCGTCCGAGCCTGCTCGGATGCATGCTCGTTAAAACAAAACTTAAAACACCCAAGCATCCTGAGGCAAGGTAGAGGTTTATTTAGTTAATTTAATTTAAACTATTTATTTTAGCCCTAGTTATATTTTGGTGCCAGGAAGGTACACTACACCCTCACTGAAGGCTTTCGTAGACCCTAATCGATTTTCATGCAAAGCAGAAGAAGCACTTTGGACGCCGCCATTCTCTTATGTCACCGTATTGCCTATGGCTTTGGTGAAAATGCCATGTAAATCAAGTGTGCCCTTTTAGACTATACTTTGGCATTTGACTACTTCCCAAGACCTCTTTTACTGAATGGACTAACCAAGACAAATACTGAATGCTGGATAGTCAGCTGGGCGCATTCCTACTTCTCGGGTAGGAAACAGCATAGTGTTCACAGAGGGAGGCGCTCCACATCACTGCTTACTGTGGCTGGAGTTCCCCAAGCACCCATCCTTCCAAGCCTCTTCTCATTCTTTCTGCGTGGCCTACCATCTTCAGCTGGTAACAATTTCACTAAGTATGCTGTTGACCCAACAGTTTCCTTACCTATCTCGTCGTCGCTAGGTTGCTGCCGACCGAATGACTTTCTATCTACTGTTAGACGATGATCCTACGAGAATGATCAAATGGTTAATTTTTTAAAATGCCAAACCGTGAACTTTATTTTTAGACGTCAACATAACTTACGTACATTGCTTAGTTCTCGTATACCCCGTTTCACTGATAGTTGCGCACCGGAGAATTTTATGAATGTGATTGTTCTTGGTGCGCGTTTTTCTTCAGACCTTTCCTGTTCTTCTCATATCACACTAATTTCCGAGAGAATTGTCCACCTAACCTTCTATATTAGGAAGCTGAGAGTATCTGGTGTTACTCAGCCTCTTCTCTTGCCTTCTATAAACTCCCGCATCCTACCTGTCTTCCTCGATTGCTCCCCTTTATTTTTTCATGGGTTGCTGAAAATAGGCTATGCTATACTGTGTAGAACTCTGAGGCTTGTCAGCAGAACTAGTGGTCTACCCACTTACCTTCTAGTTAAAACTGTTGTGGACAAACACATTAACTCATGTAAACATCTGGCGTGGATTATTCTATTAGATGGCTGGCATCCTCTTCGCTCGAAGCTCTCTGCGTGTCGGTCATCTGGAAAGACGAGGAGCGAGTACGGAAGACTTCATGAAGGTACTAAAAAATATAAAAACCCTAAGATAGCGCATTTAGCTCGTCTGCTGTGTGATGAAGAAAGTACTAGAAGTGAACTAGCTAATTAAATTCTGCTTCTAAAAGCAAACTAACTGAAGGTGAACCTGTAACTTCACACGTATTATGAACGTAATTGCCAATGTGCCTGTGCACCTTAACTGGCTGTGCCTACTGAAGGAACTTGGGGACGGATTGAATTGTTTTATCTTTTCTTCATGTAATTTCTACCTATTTTCACTCTGCTGCGTATGCGTATGTACTGTCCCTATCCAATTGGTGCTACATGAAGTGCTGAGTATTCCCGAAATAGCTTTCAGAATAAAGCGGTTGTTATTAATATTATTAAAACTTGAACGTTGTAGTTGTGGGTGTTCCAGGAGGTGTATATGACTGGTTACGGGAATAGTCATTGTATCCTTAGCGAATTTCGGTTTGGTTGGAATTGTAGCGTCACATGTTTCTCCAGAGTCGATGGACTAGGGGTCGACGAGATTCAACATCAACGCTGACCTTGATAGTTTGACTGGACTCGCTAAGCTGAAGGCACCCGGTCAAGCATCCTGGCCATTTGGCACGCTGTCGTGTTACGTTGCACTGCTCGTATTCAACTGTCTAGCCAGTTAGTTAGAACGCATTGGTATCTTGGCACAACCATCCAAATATACTATTCCATCTGACTATGCTACCGTGTTCTTCCTTGGTCTCGTATTCCTGGGTATATAACAAGTCCGAATAATTAGTGAATGGTCTTTGCGTCTGTCAAGTTCGCACAAGAACGATCCTATAAGCCACTCAGGGGGTAAATACGAGGCCATTTTTATTCCTGCTCTTGATTGTTGATCCATCGAGAAAGCTCCTCTTGCCTGTGCCTCATTTTTCGTAGACTTCGTCAAAGCACGGATAGTTGTAAAAAGAAATCAAGACTCTCACCTGGCCAAGAAGACTGATTTAAAGCGACATTCCCGAGCTCTAGAGTATGATCCGGATTTCGAACGTGGGAAGTGCTGCTTAACGAATTTTTGGCCTCAGAAGGTGTGGTGATCAAATACAAGTTGAGGGACATTATTATCAGAAGACTTACGACATAACTTTTCCAGTGAACAAAACATCGGCGGTAACCGCATGAAAGTAGCGAAGAACGCAACACGTGATATACAATTAGAATGTGAACACAATAGTAGAGCGTGGTTTCATCATGGTTCTTTCTCCTCAAAACATTGCCGGTAAATAACGATGTTTCACTGGGCGCTGCATCCAGTAAGAGAGCAACAGTATAGTTAGAAGAACAGTTACCCGGAGGCTCTTGATCATTTAATTCACCACCCGCAGAAGAAAATCCATATTTGTTTACTGCTCGGGTTACACATCGTGGCAGTCCCACCTCAGACCGAGCGGCACTCAAATATATTTGACCGTGGGGAAATGAAGGGGAATCAACTGTCAGGCTAACGGGAGAAACTATCCTGGTCACTTAATATACTTTATATCATCTGCAGTCCCTGTCAAAATTCGACTTTTTCTCAAGTTTATCTATTGACCACCAAATGAGTATTCCGAACTAGCCAACCCTATCAGTCAGAGAACGGCCTTTGTAACAGGACCCATCTAGAATCGATGTCACAATTACTACACTGTGATCGGGTTCAGCCTCTGCTATCTAAGATGAACTGCCCAACCAAATAACTTGCCAAGGGTAAATGCATTGGGATCTATAAGATAGAGTAGCAAATCCAGACCGCAGTGCATAGTCTCGAATCGGCATTCATAGAGATCCGGTTACAGCCTGCGAATACTGTTTCACCCAGTCGTGTATTTCAACTATTTCTTCCATCCATCTGCTCTGTTCCTTCTAACAGATATTCAGCTTCCTCATTGTTTCAAAACACTTCGTTAACTTTCAAGTGATGGAGATGGTCGATAAGAAAGCCCGTAAGCCCTGCGAAAAAATCCGTGGATTTCATGTTCGTCCTGGTCTAACCATAAAAACAGAAACGTGGAAATGAAAGTGAACCACTACGTGCATGTTTACGCATCATGCACCCCATCAAATCTTTCAAAAATAGTGATCGCGCGAATCGGTAGCATAGTCACCAGAAGATGGAGTACAGATCTCTTATTTTACCCACTAAACAAACTTAAAGCGTCTATATAAATAGGCATAGGACCCATATTCAACCTCCAGAGACAAAATGCGAAACTCATAATGAGCAAAGAACCCATTTTGAGAATGGAAGCATGAAAGTGAGAAAGATTGATTCACCTAGAGCAGCAAAGTGGCAAAGAAAGTAGAACTAGTGGCTATGAACAAGATGCCATAGCTCAAGACGATCAACCATTTCCATTTACATGCCTCATATTGACGTTGACACTAGTGTTGAACAAAGGTTTGAAAGTTTCGGATATTGCATCAGAGGGGTTTTCGAAGTATACGGAACATTTCAGTTGTGGGTGGCATTCTTATTTGGTTCTTTTTAATGTTAAGGTAAAGGGATTTTTTTGTGGTTTTAAAGAATAAGGTATGTGTGTCAATAACGTATGAAAGTCAAAAGGAAAGCATGGCATAAATGGAGGCTGTCCGGCAAAGAGTCAGATTCCAGTCGGCAAACACTTTGGGGTCACTATGAAATTTTTTAGCAAATACGGCAGAAAAACCCTAAGCTTACTACAGATAGTGCATCACCGTCTTCATGAAATGGCCAGAACTGTCGAAATGAGCCCAAATAACCCAAATTGTCTGCACTGCTCCCAAATCTGTCAAATTGTCTACAGTGTACCCAAAGTTTCGCAAATAAGGCATTATAACAGGCAGAAAGTAAGGTGTGTAAGTAGAATTTGCTTTGTAGATGCTTGGTCACAGCCTACGTGGTCTGTAACGTTTCTTACTAATTTCCTAAAAGACTGTAATCTTGCGAAATATAATTTATTTTGGAGAGGTGCTCAGAAGTTCCAAACTGCTCCTGAAATCGGTTTCGAGAATCACCCAAAAATGTCAGAGTGCACCCAAAGTGTCTACCGGCTGGGTTATTGCGCACACATAGTTCTAAGGATTCGGTGCAACATCGGTGAGTGGAGACGGTATCTTTCCGGACAAACTCTGCCCAGAAGCTGGAGACAAACTTCTAAAATCGATATAGGTTCGTAATGGAGAGAAAATCTACCCCCTAGGAAGCTTGCGTTATGCAGAGGCCGAGTGGAGAGAACCTTCTGAAGACTACCGAAACCTTTTGCGCCATCTTCAACACAAAACTAAACATTCCGTCATCTAACCGAAACTGCCAACTGGTTGAGCAACATTCGGCACTTCCTAATGTTGAAGAGTTGCGTAAAGTCAAGATAACTGCTGCTATGGTCCTCTAAAAGCTGTCAAAGTTCCGTACAGAAAAATCACTGGGATGCGATGACATTCGTTCGTTTGGGTTGAAATAATGTGCGGGCGCCTTGTATGATCCGCTTCCTACTCTGTTTCTACACTCTTTAGACAAACACATGCTTCTGCTAGTGGAAATACGCTATTCTGTCTCCCATCCTCAAAGTGGAAGACAGGCAGAACCCGAAATGCTATTGGGCTATTGCACTTCTATCAGTGTCGTTGAAAGTAATGGAGCTTGGTAGGCGACCATGTCAGCGAGTGCTTAGACAGAAAGAATGCATTAAATGTTTTTAAACACTGCTTCCTATAGAGTAGATCCTGCACCTCAAACCTTCTGGCAGCTGATGATAACTGGGTGACATTCGGGGACCTCTAAGTCTCTGATTGTGCTTTTCCCGGATTTTGCCAAAACCTTTGACACAGCCTAACACGCCACTTTCATACGCAAAGTATCAAGGTTGAAAACCCACAGTCAGGTGCTCTCCTGGCTCCAGGACTACTTAGACGGAAGGGAATTCTGCACAGAAGTCAACAGGGCTTTTCTAACTTGGAGGACATCATCATCTAGTGTATAACATGGAGCGACTCTGGGTCTGCCGCTATTCTATCCTTTTGTGGATGACCTCCCACTGGGTCTCAGCTCCTCAATCCCACTTTACTCTGACGATGCTAAGTTATAGAAAGCTGTGAGATCCCAGACGGAAGCAACTACAGATTTCAGATTGCTTTCAGAGTGGGTGAATAATAACGGACTAGCATTTGACCTGGATAAGTTCTAAACCATGTATCTCCGGACTCTTGACTCTTTAAAAGTATCCTACTCTTCCCACACCACCACTGAAAAATACCTAGGACTAATACCGGCTGACAAGCTAGACACCTCCAATTAGCCAATAAATGCCTTCAGAGCCTACGTAGTACTGTACCTCATGCGCAGAAAACTGGGTGCCCTCACCCTGGAACCCTTCCTCAAGCCCTATATATCGCTTCATTTAGAGGTCCACAACGTCATACCATCACCATACCTACAAAGAGATATGAACCTCTTGGAGAAAGTCCAGGGGTGAGCAACGAAGGACGTTGTGGGAAGGTGGCAAAAATCCTATCAGGACAAACTGAAAGACCAAGGGCTTTACTCTCTTGGTTACCGTAATTTACGTAGCGACTTGATAACAGCTTACAAAATCCTGACTGACGAAATCTCAGACGGACGCATCGGCTCAAGTTGCCAAACTTTATACTAGTACACAGAACAGGTTGATGGAAAAAAGGGATATCAAAGAAGATTAAGTAGTGTACCAATAAATAATCCAAATATAACGACAGTCTTTATCTCCCTACATGGCTCAAACGAGTAGTTAAAAACTTCATCAACTGGTGCCACGTTTTAGTCTGACCACCCTGAACACTCTTCCAACCTAATCCAACTACCCCTGACATAGCACGTCGAGATAGGCGGTGGCTCAGGATGCGCAGTACACGTCCAAGCCATCTCAGTCGATGAAGGTTCAAAACCTCATCAATCGACTTGCTTGTTTTGCCTGGTACCCTTTGCCTGACCTTCATATTCCTCATATTGTTATCCAACCAAATGCGAGCAATGTTACGAAGATATTTGTGATCGAAACCCAGTAATCGCTTCATGTCTTCTACTTTCAGCGACCGTGTTTCACGGCTGTCCAACATGATAGGTGGACTGCAGCACAGTATGCCCGTCCTTGGTTAGATAGTCGGGTATCTCCACAGTCGGCACCACAGGTGACTCATGTTGGCAAATGCCAAACGAACCTTCTGTATCCGAGCTGAGATTTCGTCAGCAACCAGCCCATTCGGGCTGATGCAACCTCCAAAGTGAGTGAAGTTGTCGACATATTCCACTACTTCACCCCTTATCATTAAACTGGGAGTGGTTACAAACCAGTCCTGGAGCGTCGTCTTACATTCAACAGGTGTAAAATGCATCCCAAGTATACTCAGATTTCTGCTCAAGGAGTTCAGAAGACCCTGCATTTTGTCAGTGTATTCACCTAGTTGGAAAATATCGTCTACATACTCTAAGTCAGCCAAATGACCTCCAGAGAGTAGTTCAATGCATGTGAAGTCAGACATACCTAAGGTTATGTCCATTAATACGTCTATGACGAAGTTAAATAGGAACGGCGACAGTGGGCAACCTTGGCAGATACCATTAGTCGTCGTCAATTCTGATGATAACTCTCCATAAGCCCTGACACGGCTGCGTGAGTTCGAGTAGAGAACTTTGATTAGCGTTATATGATTGCTTCATACTCCCTTTGCAGTCAGACTCTGCCACGGCACCTCAAGGTCGACAGAGTTAAATACTGCCTTCAGGTTAAGAAGCATAACAAGTATGTCTGTGTTCCAGAACCTGTCGGGAGGTGAATATCTTATTGACGCAACCTTGCTCAGAACTAAAGCCTATTCGGTTTTCGTGAGTTTGCTGTTCTCGAACTGCAGTTAGGCGTCGGATGGTTATGCACCCATTTCAGACGCAGTCCACACGATGAATTGTTGCACGGTTTCTTTTCCCAACCTGCATTTGGTTGTCTGCAACATTGCTACTCATTACTCATGTGACTACAGTAATATTGTGATTGATGCTTATATATATATATATATATATATATATATATATATATATATATATATATATATAATTTTATTCCTAGAAAGCGTTCTTTTTTAGTTGTCACTCTTTGTCATCTGGTTGTTATAAAACTTAATCATGTACGGTATATAAGGAGAGAGAAGTTAATGACATCCCTGCATTATGATAATTGAAAAGTTTTCGTTAGAAGTTTTGAGGTAAAGCAACCCAGTCAATTATCTTACTTTCAGTTTTCTTTTCTTCGACTCTGTAAAAATCCATCAGTTTGTCAACAGAAATATAAGACCTTGCATTACTGCGTTGCTGTCCAAGTAGTCACACCTTATATCAGCATATCAAGCGAGAAGGCACTAAGATAAATTATAAAAACATAAAGAACAGGTCAACAGCATTAAAAACTGGTAAAAGAGAGGAAGGACGGATATTGTTAGTATTAGAACACAAACATGGAGGAGCAAGGGCACCAAGAAATGAAAATTAGATTACAAGGAAAGCAATAAAAATAGAGTGATTAGAAGGACAGTCTGAGATATTCAGAACTAAACATTCATTACGTTTCAGCAGCAAATGAAAGGGAGTTACAACCTAACCACTATTGATTTCGATTCTGACCCATATTTGATAATGTCTCAAGCTACTGGGTTGTGTGATCTCTTGGATCCCACCCAGAAAGTCGTTGTGCATCGTCAGGTGCTAACTCGATACAACTATCCTTCATCCCATGGAGCTACATCATACACTGACCACTCCTAAATTTCTTCCATCCACACATACGGCCAACAAACAATGCACGGTATGGAAGCCGTTGGGATGACATGCGTAACACTTGTCTAAGCCACTGAAGCAGGTGTTTCCAGATGACTTCATTTATTGAATGGCGATCTCCATCATGCCCAAACACGCTGTCCTACCTTAGAACCCTTTGCATATTACCACCAAATGTGAGAAATCCTAAGGAGACAACAATGATCCAACACAGTTGTCGCACATCCTCAGCTCAAAGAGGCCAGGTTTCACATGGGCAGAGCAGAACTACCCGCACAGAAGCGTTGTAAACCCTACCTTTTATGGTCAGACTAAAGTTGTGACGACGACAAAGGTGGTCCAGATTGGCGTATGCCACTCTGGCTTTTGATATGTGGTTAGAAATTTCATCACTTACACCTCTACCAGCACTCACATAACTACCCAAACACACCAACTTCTCAAGTACTTCTAAGGGCTCACCACCGAGAGTGAGTGCAGGCACACACTCCTGCCAATCTCGCAAAAGTACTTTGCACTTTGATGGTGCGAAGCACAAAGCTTACTTACGAATACTAATCACCAACTGATTAAGTGCGATTTGAGTAGCCTGTATGTTATCTCACAGTAAAACGATATAATCTGCATATTCAAGATCGAAAAGCCGTTCTTCGGGTAGTAGATCTACACCATAATGCACCTTCAGAACTGTCTAAAGAATGTCATCAATGACAAAGTTGATAACGGATGGAGAAATCGGGCAACTCTGCCTAACCCAACTGGTTGTTTGAAACAATCCAGACAGGTGGTTTTATGCCAGAATTCTACCTGGGGTGGCTTTCAAGATATTGATAAATATTTCAGACACGCCCCTCTCTGACAAACGATTTCAGAGTACAACTTTGTCCAGCGAATCGAAGCCACCTCTAATGTCAGAACTAACGATTGTTGGCCTGTAATACGTGTAGCTATGTTCAAGTATCTAGTGGAGTGTAAACGCATGATCAATGCATCCACGACCTGAATAAAACCTGACCTGCTCCTCACAAATCATTTTCTCACGCATTTTGCAGT